TCTTTCCCTCCCTGTTCACCTCCTGCCAGAGTCCCTCTAAATTGATCGTACTCTCTGTAAGCAGCAGGGTCTCCTGCAGCTGCTACTCAAAGCTCTAGAGAAATATCATGGACTACCTATGGTCTGGAATTGAAATGTCACTCTATTTAATCATGTCAACAGGCCCAAAGCAAGGCAGTCCATTGTAAAACACCTATTCCTTTCCATTCCTGTCTGCTGGAATTTCTGTTTCTGCCCCACAGTAAAAGTCTGGTGCTTTGGGCAGTGTGTTTAGCTTGAGGAAGGACCAAGAGCTGACAGTGGCTTTGTCCATTGCAGGACTTCCAGAGAGTCCCTGACAGAAAGAGGGAACTAGATCCTGGTTCTTCATCTCAGACACAAGGTGATGAGAAAATGGAAATCCCAGAGGGAGTGCAAGCAATGTCAGAGCAGAACAACTTCTCCACATCCACAGGTAAGGGCAGGCCTGTAGTGAAACACATCCTTCTAGACATGATAAACTTCTTTGTTACTCCTGCAGCAAAGATTGGAGGTGGCTTAGGTCTTAACCAGCTATGTGTCCATCTAATTGTAAATACGTGATGCCCAGTGACAGCCATCTGCTATGTACTTCACATATCCTTTTTTCCTGGGTATTTTTGGGTTTATAAGCTAGCTCCATATCTCTTGCATGGCAGTATTTCAGAAGTCACTTTGACAGTGAGCTGCATTTAAGGTGGGGAGGGAAAAGAAAACTGGTTTGAAATTAAAGCTTCCACATTGCCTTACCATTGCTAAACTCAATATCTTATGGAGGCAAAGACATGAGCTAGAACCAGTTGCGATCGGCATGTTAAGGAAAAGATGAGTTGGAGGAGTACTTGTACTGCAGTTGTCAGAACAGAAACTGCTGGCACTGAATCTCTACAGTGTTGGATACAATACAGATGTGGGAATGGTATTTCTGACTGAAAAGTGACTAAATATGCAGGCGTATGATGAGGCTGTGACCAGTGTGTAGGCAGTGGGGAAAATGAGCTGATGAAATGGTTGCTGTCAGATAGATCTGCCACCTTGGCTTATATTAATGGTCCTGTGATCTGTGCTTTTGTCATCTAGGTGTAGGTATAGACCCACTTAGTAGACATCAAGACAGATTTCTTTCTGGATGACACCTTACACAGTGACATCTGCAGTAAAACTTCTATCTCTCAGGTCATTATCTAACCTTGTTACCACAATTCTCAAATTCAAAATAGCAAGTGTGTGGTCTTATTGTCTCTAACATCATTTTACTGGCATTGGCCATTCAGTTAGGAAACGTGCTTAAGATGGCATGGTCTGCTTTGCTAAGGAGATCTCCTTCTGTGTTCCTGCAGAGCCAAGAATTCCAAGAGAATCTCTGTTGAACATGGAGCCTGCAGCAAAAAGACTGAAGAGGTATTTATTGAATTGGGGTATTGAAATAGTTACTGTGTTTAGAATTGCCATCTAATTTTATTTTCTCATTATTAGGGCTGTACTGTACTTGCCTGATGTCTAGCATGTAGGAGGTATTTCAGATGCTTCTGGACAGTTCAGAAAATCTAATGATGATAGCTGAGATCCAGGGTGTTGGAGGGTCTCTGCTATGGGTGATGCAACTGTGGGAATGAAAAATAAGGGATGCAGCTCATGTAGACATGCAACAGAGCAGAGTTGGCTCATGTGTTCTGCCAGGACTCCTGTAAGAAACAGAGAGGTTCTTTTCTATTCTGATATATTTCTTTAATTTTTTTTCCCCTAAATGACAAAGTGAAACTAGCAGCCACTTATCAGCCGAGAGGAAAAGCCCTGTCATGTGTTACAGTAGGTGTTGGAAAGGGTAGTTTATTTTCAGGAATGAGAAAGGCAAGGGAATCAATATTCATAATGATCACAGAATGATTTGGGTTGGAGAGGACCTTAAAGATCATGTAGATCCAACCCCCCTGCATGGACAGGGACACCTCCCACCAGACCAGGTTGCTCCAAGCCCCATCCAACCTGCCCTTGAACACTTGCAGGGATGGGGCTTCCACAGCTTCCCTGGGCAACCTGTTCCAGTGTCTCACCACCCTCACAGCAAAGACCTTCTTCCTAATGTCTAACCTAAGTCATCTCCCCTCTTCCAATTTTAATCCATTCCCCAATATCTAAGCCTGTATCCACGAGTGTTGAGTTCTGTAGCCCTTCTGAAAAGGTTGTCTTGCCAGTCCTCCAGTCTGCTGGGTAAAAATAGACAAAGCCAGTCCTGTTTTCCACAAGGGATGCGCAGCGTGCAGTCATGGATCCGCGGCAGGACCTTCCTGGCGCTCCCTGGGTGCGGGAAGGCACAGGCAGGGCTGCATTGCCATCTAGTGGGAAGGCATGTCACCCAGCTCCCGGTGCCATCTGCACCGTGCTGTGCCACTCCTGGTGCGGGGGGGTGGTGGCGAGAGGAGGAGGAAGTGAGTACAGATTTCTGGAGGCATTGATTTGAGAATTCTCCAGCATATGTTAATGACTATGAGTCAGGACTCCTGGGTCCTCTTATCTTCTCTGTTAACAATTCACTGCATGCTTTTGGACAAGTTTCTTCACCTCTCTGTTTCCCATCTGTAGATTAGAGATTAATGGCTAGCTTTAGGGAGAATATTCCAAGATTACTTTGATGTTCAGACATTACCTTGATCATGTAAGACATTAAAGAGTGATAAATATTATGGGACCACCATGAGTTGTGGACTCTGATTAGCAAGAAAGTGAATTAATTAAAGTTAAGTCAAATGCATTTGACTGTATGCTTTGTTAATCTGTTTGCCAAAGCTAATTTAATTTTAATTACATTAATATTTAGTAGAGTATTAATCAAAGTCTCGTTACATGCACTGAAAAAAAGAATCAAGTCTGAGGAATGGCAGATCTCACTGCAGCAAGCCAGCTATTAGGAAAATCCTTTCCTAAGCACTAGCTGGGGGCTGCCAGATTGGATGCATACATTAGGGCTGGTATTTAGTTAGAATAGATAATTCCTCAGCTTTTTTTAAGTGTTGCTGTTTACTTCCGTTGCACAGATGACAGACCTCTGAAAAAATATTTCCTGCTCTCACAGATGGGAAGGGCATTCCCCCTCCATGTCACATGTTTTTGTTTTGTGCTTCATTGTTCCATTTCCCTTTGGCCAGGAATACCAGCCTCCTTCTTCATTTCAGGTTTTTCCCACTTCTGCCTTTTCTCCTATGTACCACCTGTATGCCTGGAACAACATCCTCATTGCAGTGCAGAAAGCACTCAGCATCTTCACATCCTCCTTGAACACCCGCTTCTTCTAGCATGGCCTGACAAGTATCCAGATAATACCATTCCCTCCTTAGATCATGCTCATGATGGCTTTAGCTCCCTTAGATTGCTCCTTAGATCCGCAGTTTAGCCTGCAAACCCTTGCCCTGGAGAGCTGTCACCATCTGTGTGTGGTGTCGTGTTGAGCCTGCTGGCAGCACTTGACAAATAACGCCAGCCACTCTTGTTTCCTTCGTGTCTGCACTGCCCAAACCCTGCTGCATATTTATAGCCCTGTAACCCAGTTACATTATCACTTATCAATCTGGTATATTATGCAGTGCCTGTGTGTTTGGAGCACTGGATGAAGAATCTGCACAGGCTGAGTTCTTGCTTGTGTAGAAGGTGCTGCTCCCTGTTGGCACAAGTACATCAGTGGGTGGGATATCAAGGCAGCCTGAGAGAAGATACTCAAGCCATGGTGAAAAGTGTTAGCCCTGATGGAAAAATGGGAGATGGGGAAAGACATTGTAAAGTATACCTTATGTCCTCTGCAAGTCAGCAATTTATTCTCAGCAGGATCTTTTTTCTCTTTAGCAGATCACCAGTACCAAAAAAACCAAGGTCTTTTTTATTTCTGTCTTGCACAGCTCCATTTCCCCCACAAGCAGAACTGTAGGGACTCTGGAACAAAGCACAGCTGATAGGAATGGAGAAGGCAGCTACAAAGAAATCCTTGTGAGACACCTTTGAGCAGTCATTCAGTTCTGACTGGGCTCAGTGTTACCTCATGCACAGAGAAGCCTGGAGTACTGTCCAGGTATTGCAGTTTCCCAGCAGGTCACCAGTTAAGACAGGAGTGTGAGCTCTCAGAGCTCTTATTAAGAATATTTCCCATATGAACTTAGTTCCCTTCAGGCATCTTGCAGGAGAGGCTCTGATCCAAAAAATCAGTTGTAACCAGATTATTTGGCTGCTGTTTCTGAATCTGTTCTAGAATGCCCACTATTCATTATTTTTATATCTTTTTGCTAAATCCTTGCCTGAAATACCACTTCCAGTAGCTTATTGATCTGAGGGGGTTTAGTGTCAATAGTGTGGTAGTTTAGACCCTAGCCAGTGCCTTGGGATGTATTCTGAATCTCTTAGTCTGTAACATGGCAAATAAGGCTATTTTCTTTATATTCTTGAAGTGTTACTGAGGAGCCTGCATTAGAGGATGCAACAGACAGCAAGGAAGCAGGAGAGACAAGCACCTGTGTCCAAGCTGATGGTGAGTTGCTGGGCACCACGATTTGCACTTTTAGGGCACTCCTTGCTGGATTTGCACCTGCAGATCAGAATCTATACATCCCATAATTCTCTACAGGAATGTCCTCCCTCCAGTCATACTGGGTGGGGAAAGGAGGAGAAAAATCTAGGAATTAAATCCAAACACAGTTCCCAAAAAGCTGTTTCCTACCAAATGCAGATAAGTTTCTCTCTTTAACAAGGATTTATTTGGAGAAAGGTTGGTGAACTGGGCTTATGGCCAACAGCACTGTGAGGAAAGCTCACTGACTTCTTTCACTTGCTGCTTTTTTTTTTTTTTTTCTGTCATCTCTGTTTTGATTTAAGGCAGCTAAAAGGACTCTCTTCCTAGGTACAGGCAATGTAAGGGAGTACACAGCTGAAGATCTGTCTAAAGAGAGGAAATTCTCTGAGGAACCAAAGGCTCCTGAGGTGAGTAGATACCAGCCCATGCAGGCTGGGGCAGTGCAGAACATACCACCTCCCCCTCCATCCCAGAGAAGCCCGTTGCCACTGGGAACCAGATGGCACCTACGTCTGGAGCTCCGTCTCCTGCTGTAAGCTGTTGTCCCTGGCAATAAGGCATAATATGTCTGCAATTAGTGCACAGTCTGCTCTGACTTGCTGCTTTTGTACCTCTGCTAGCCTGTACCTTACCCACTGCTGGCTGTTTGTGGATGCTGGGGTTCATTAAGGTTTCAGTATTCATCTTGAAAGATGGAAAGTTGAATTGAAAGAGCTACTGAAAAATACATGCATTGAAAAATAGAGCTAAATACATCTTTTACATTGCTGAAGAGCAGATGTAAAACAACTCAGGTGATGGTAGTAAAGATGCAGCTGCTGTGGGACTTGCCATCACAGTAGGCATGAGCAGAGAGTGGGAGTCTCTGCTTTTGAAAGGCAACTTGGAAAAATGAGACACAGATGAAGGCAGCAACCTGAGAGTTTAGCATTAAATACCTTGTCCACATACAAGAGGTTAAACCAGGACTGTATGCTGTGCAAATCTGCAAACAAAGATTTAACCCATGGTGTGAATCAGACTTGGTAATCTTCCATCACTGGAGATGTTAGTTGAATTGAACAAATGTATCATCCTGCCCTTGTTAGAGTTCCTTGTTCTGTCAGGTGAGATGCTGAGTTGCCTTTAATTCTGCAGTGGAGAAGTGTGAGCTGATCGTATCCCTTCCCAATGCATTGTTTGTTGCTCTACTCTCCAGAGACTGGATCACACAGTGCCTGCAGATGCTGCAGAAACAATCACCTGAGCTAACAGGCCTGGTGCTATGACACAAGGATCACTGGTTC